GTCTCCTTTTCGTTCGGCCCGTCCTCCGCTCCGCTTGAATCGTTCACTTTCTTCTCCCACTTGTCTTCGTTTTGCTTTTCCTCTGCTCTTTCGAGCTGTCCCTTCGATCCTTTCGTTCTGTCTGCTCCTGCTCTCTTCGTCCTTTCCCTTCCCAAGCTACCCGCTTCGTTCGATCTCCGCTTGCTTTTCTTTTTTTCCTTTGTTTTGTTCGTTCCTCATTTATCCCCTTCCGTTCTGCCCGGCTCGCCGACCGCCTGTACCTCTCGTTGTCGCTCCCTCTCCTCCGTCGCTTTGTTCGATGTCCCTTTCCCTCTTTTTGGTCGTTGCGTGCGCTCTTTAGTTCTCTTTCCGCGCATTTCGTTGTTGACCCCCTCGCCGTCGCTGGATTCCTCGCGCCGCTAGTTCGGCCCTAGCGCTGTCCGCAGTGCGCCCAGCGCGGGCGGGTCCCGGCGCCTCGCCGTCCGCGCGATCCCCGGTGGTGCTGTCGGCGCTGCGCGACCGCCGCCTCTGGCTGGGATCAGAGGAGCCAGGCCAACTGCTTCTCATTAAGTCCCAACTGTGGTTTTTATCAGGAGTGCCTCTTTCAAAGGGCACAGACACGAAGCTCTGCGGCCTCGCTCATTTCCTCCGCTGACCCCCACACACCTCCTGCCCTCCCTTACACATTCCCACCGCCGGCAGGGCGAAGGCTGGAGCTGCCTGGACACTCCGTGGAGGCCCGCGAGGCGTCAGCGAGTTGGGCCGATCTCGGAGGACCCAGCTCTGGGCCTAAGCTGCGGGACGTGGCAGCTCGGGCGCCGAGACTCCTACAGGTTAGCGCCCGTGCAGTTGGCGCCGGCAGGGCTGAGTACCTGCCTGCCAAGCCCCGGGCGTTCAGGCGCGATCTCGAGAGATGGCGCGGTCGAACTGGCCTTAGCACACGGGGCCCCGGCGCAGGAGCCGTAGGCGCCCAGGGTTTAGGCCCAGCCGTGAGGATCCAGGGAGAGGAAGCCAAGCCGGCGAGAGGGTGGCCATCGCCGTATAAGACGACGGGGAGGCCAGGTTAGTCTGAGAAATAACTGCACAGTTATTCCGTATCGAGCATGGCCCTGGCACTGAGGGACCAGCTGTGGCCACGCTGCCGAGCGCCTAATGCGCAGGCAGCGCCCTCCCCACAGAAGCTGGGCCTGCGGAGCAGAGGCCTCAGCCCTCAGCGGAGCCCGGCTTGGACATTTTGGGTCCGGGCTCAGCCTTGGGGCCCGCATCAGACGCCACACACACACAAAAAGCCGCGTTTATCTCCCCGCATCGGGGCAAGGGCTCAGTGTGACTCCTGGGCCTTGGGCCCGGTCCGGGGTTCTAGGTCGGTGGCAGCTCCAGCGCCACTCGGGCCAAACATGAGTTCTCCTTCCAGGCTCCGACTGGGCCCCGGGCTGTCGCCGCTCCACCCTCTCTCGACCTCCCACCTTCCATTCCCGCCGCCGAAGGCAAGCGTGGCTCTGCTTCCCGCACCGCGCCGGCTTTTGCCCAGCCTGGCCGGGCGCGAGGTGAGAGGGTCACGAAGTTAAGAAATAGGCGAGCGGGAGAGGGAAGCGGGGAGGCCGGGCCGGGCCGGGGAGGGAAGGGGAGCGGGTCGGGCTGCGCTTTACCTTCCTCGGGGCCCTCGTAGAAGTGGCCGCCGTTGAGCGCCGGGGCGGGACCGAGGTCCTGCAGGTACTTGGCGGGCGGCTTGGCCGGCTCTGGGAGGTAGGGCTCCAGGGGCCCGCAGGCCGGAAAGCGGGTCAGCCGCGGGCCGCGGGGCGGTGCGGGGTGCAGGTGAGGCGCGGCAGCGGGGGTTCCCTGGGCGCCCGGAGGCTCGTTCCCAGTGGCCGCGTAGGGGCCGGACCCGG